GACTGAGCAGAGCCGCGGCCGTATCTCAGCCGTCCGTTCTTGCAGTCAACGGCCCTGTCGCTCTCACGCCAGGCCCGGGTTGTTCTGGATAGAGATGGGCCCAAGGTAGAGGCCCAGGATGGTCACGACGCAATGTGTGATGTCCTGGCCCAAGACATGTTTATTTATTCTCTGCGAAACAGCCCAAGACATGTTTTTTTTCTTTGTGCGAGGAGAGAGAGGCTTTCCCCTTATATAAACAAAAAGGAGAGAGAGGCTTAAAAAATTTTAACCCACACGTATGATGGGAAATTTCTTGCAGTGGTGACCACATGCATTATGTTGGAGCTGTAGTGTCACATGCTGGCATTTATTTTTTGTCAGGTGATGAGAAGGTGCGAGACTGATGTATTTTTATAAGCTGGTTGTTGCGGATTGATTCGAGAAATCATTGACCATTACAAATCATGAACCAAATTAAAACTTGAACAACTTTGCATCCGCTTCGTGCAAGGGAATCGAATGTCAACCAACAAGTTCGCAGCGAGAACATTCCCAACGAACACTCGATGGTTATCATTTTCGAAATAGAGAAACAGTGTGATTGTTGCGGAAAATGAAGGGAAACGAGCTTTGCTCCTAAAATGAAGCCGGGAAGAAGAAAAGGAAGATACTCGCGACGCAAGGCTGGAACTATCACATGTAAACACATGCGCCCCTTCGTCTCAATGTTCTTCATCCCTACTACCTCTGTCCTGGTTTATTAGTCCTTTTTGCATTCTGTGCCATATCGTGACCTTAAATTTAACTAACAAAATATTAATGCATGTTATAAAAATAATATAATTTGTTTTTGTGGGAATATAATTAAAAACTATGTTCAAATATGAATCCAACGACATAATTTTTGGTGACATGCATTAATATTTTGTTAGTTAAATCTTTAGTCAAAATTTAACATAAAATACAAAGGAACTTATAAACCCAAACGGAGGTAGTATAAACTTTTCTCCATGAGTCCCACAA